TTCTTTTTTCAGTTACTGTTATTATTATTTTTAAACTTAAGGAGCAAGCCATTGATAGAGAACATGAGAGAGATGTATTCCAACAGGAAATACAGAAACTAGAACAGCAACTTAAAGTTGTACCTCGATTCCAGCCTATCAGTGAACATCAAACTAGAGAGGTAAGAACCTTACTGATATTGCCCGTCTTATAGAAATTTGTATCTTGAGTGTAAAATAAGATGCATATCATGAAAAACTTAAAATTGAGTTATTTTTATCATACATAAATCCTCAAAATCAGAAAATTAAATGTCACTTAAACGTGAGAAAGTCATTAACCCTAAAAATTGTTTGTATTGAAATTTGTAATCATTCCCATCTGCATGTATCGTCTACTGCTGCTTGATTAAATAAAATTCCCTGCTTCTCTATTCCCATTCCCAAGAAGACTGATCAAAAGAATTGTTTGTATTCACTCTTTACTTTTCTGTTCTCTTCTAAATCCACTCGAGTGAAGTTTCCAACCCCTGTGTTTTAGTGGGATTTAATACCTTTTACTCCCTTTAAGCTGTTCTTTTGAAGGTTTCACAGAACTTCATGGGTATATGCAATAATCACCTTTCTGTCTTCATCCTGCTCAGCCATTCAGAAGCATTTATTATAGCCTTCTTCCAGAATATTTCCTTCTCTTGGGTTCTGTGACACACCTATTGCACTAGTCTGTCTCTAGTCTTTGTTTCTCTCCTACCCAACCAAAATAAATGATGGAGTTCCCCAAGACTTGGCCTTGGGCCTCTTTTTCCCTATTTATATTCTTTTCTCAGGCAGGCATATATACATGACTCCACATTTGTACCTCCATCCCTGACATCTCTGTTGAGCTCCAGACTTGCATGAATATTCAGCTGCCCACTCTGTTTCCACTTAGATGTCTCAAAATTAACATGTCCAAAAGAGAGCTCTTGATTCCTGATTAGCCCCTACCAAAGAAAGACAAGAATAACACGTTTCTTCATCTGAATAAATTCTGTACCTTCTACACTTTCCTCATTTCTGAGGCCTAGAATTCATCTTTCATTCTTCTCTTTTTCTCAACCCCTGCTTCCAGCCTATTGGTGAGTCAGCCTGCACTGCATCTTTCTGTTCTTCAACCTTCGTTAATCTCCCTAACCCTAGTTGTCATCATTGTTTCCCTGGATCATTGTGATGATCTCCTAACTAGTAACTATCTCTCTGCTTTTTCGGCCCAATTGTCTGTTTTCCTCACATAGAAACATAGTCCTAACTCCGTAGTCACCAAATGAATGCTGCACAAACGAGGGAAGGTTCACTGTGTAAATTCCTAAAGATGATCTGTCATGTTGATAAAGACCTTGTGTTAGGGGTAAGGCAATCCCAATTTGCAGCATGACTCCGACATTTACTAGATATATTACCATGGCTAAGTCATTTCATCTCTCAAATCCCTGTTTATTCATTTCTGAAATAGATTATAATAGCACCCACCGCATTGGAGTACTGGCCTGACACATAGTGAACACTGACATCTAGTATTATTTCTGAAAACAATTTTTATTTCTACTGTAATTTCTATGCAGTTTACTGGGTTTCATTTCTCTGAAAAGAATTCCAAAAAAGTAAAAAAAAAAAAAATATAAACTCACTGCAATAAAATGTTACCCATTAGAGTAATAGAAAAGTTATCAGTTCCCACAAAGTTTGTAGTTATTACCCTTATTCCTAACAAACGTATTTTCAGCTTTTAAAAAATAGACGTTTGGTGCAACTCAAAAGAATGTTTAAACTGTAGAACTTAAACTGTCATATATTATATCGTTTTCTTATATTTGAAAAGGTTGTCCTGCCTCATTCATGAAACTTTAAGAAACTAGTAAAGATGTGCATGTTTGATGTTTTTCCAGGAACATTATGATCCATTTGTTGTCTCCTTACCTTGCCAGATCTGATTCCTAGCTTCTGATTTTCTCAAGATCAACAAATTCTAACTATATATTGTGCTATTTTATTGTACCTGCTTTGTTGCCTTTTCTCTTGACCTTACTCCCAAATCTTAGTCAACTTGTTAAAGTTTCTTCTTAATGACTTTACCACTGTCATCCTTGAAACTATGATGTTCTTGCATTTTTTAATGTACTGAGGAATAATTGTAATTTTTAGGTAATTTCCTCCAAGTATTTCACTGAAAAAAGGTAGAATTCCTTTATTTCTTACCGTCACATCTTTTTTTAGTAAACTTTCTCTCCTCACTTGATCTGCACTAATTTCATAAACTATTATTAATCTTTATATTCTTGCATCGCAGAACCATTCACTTGAGGGGACCTGCATATCAGTCTTAGGGAATATGTTTTAGAGTACTAAATTTATTTGGGTAGTGGAAAAACCAAGAGTAGCAAGATACTTAAGGAAACTCTCAAGGTACACAGATCCTTCTCACCATCCTGCCTTCTCATCTCTATTCTGGGCTAATGGAATATATAGATTGAAAAAGCTTTCCAAATGACTCTTATCAAATTATCATTCATACAAGATTTTTTTTTTAGGTCATTTTATCTCATAGAAGAGTAAATCAGTACTCTGCAAATTTGTCATCTTTATTAGGTCTTAGTATGGTTGTGTCATTAGATAATTCAACATATTAAACATGCAATTTTCCCCCTTTCTAGCTGGAGAAAGTCATCTTAAGAGAGAGAATTTTTTTTGTTATTGCTGTTATTTTTTGAGACAAGGTCTTGTTCTGTCGTCAGGCTGGAGTGCAGTGCAGTGGCCTCATCATAGCTCACTGCAACCTCGAACTTACGGGCTCAAAGATCCTCCCACCTCGGCCTCCCAAAGTCCTAGGATTACAGGCATGAGCCACCACACCTGGCCCAAGAGAGAACTTTTTTTAAGGATTGGTGACAACAATATTATTTCTTTTTTACTAGCATCACTTAGTTTTATCAACTTGGAAAATGTCACCTTTGTTGTAGACAATACTTGCTATCCTTATAAAAAATTAAATTAGGATAGCATTTAAAAATACTTTCTGAAAAAAAATACCTTTT